TGCTAAAGTGCCTTGATTGCATAATGTCTATTTGCATAATGTAAATTGCAATCTCCTAGCTCTGGAGGCAGGATTCACAGAACAGCCATTATTTTTTACCACTCCACAAAAATTCTGCATTTAGGAAGCAGATTTGCAGCTCAGAATGCCATATAAATCTGAATCCGCCATAGACTCCATTAAATCATGCCAATTAAGATGGACCAACCAAGAGTCTTATGTCATTCCAGTCCACATATGCAAGGACCTCTCAGTCTAGACCAAGGAACAAGGGGGAAGGGAAATTGGGGTGGGGATGTAAGGATAGAAAAAAGGGTGAGAAGAGCTCATCTGGTGCTAGGGGGAGGGGAGGAATACTAAAGATGGAAATTCTAGCTATATTTCTATTCATATCATACTTTCTCTACCCCTTTTCCTCCCTCCCCATAAAGTGATTAACACAAATATTCCAGAGCTTACTGCAAAAGTCCATCCAGTAGATGCAGAGGGGAAAACGTAGAATCATACATTTAAAGCTGGAAAAGACCTTAAGAGTTCATCTAGCCCAACTCTCCCATTTTATAGATAAGAACAATGAGCACCAGACATGTGAAATACACACAACTTATTATACAAGGATTAAGTAGCAAATATGGGGTTTCAACTTAGGAGTGCAGCATTCTTCCAATTATACCTTGAGCTCATTGTGGAGCTGACTGCTGGTAGACTGCTAATCTGAATGAAAAAAATGTAAAGGTTGTTATTGTTCAATTGTGTCCAACTCTTCGTGACCCCATTTGGGATTTTCTTAGCAAAGACATTGGAGTGGTATGTCATTTCCTTCTCCAGCTCATTTTACAGATGAGGAAACTGAGGCAACCAGGGGTAAGTGACTTGCCCAGGGTCACAGAGTTACTAAGTGTCTACGCTCAGATTTTAACTCAGGTCTTCCCGACTCCAAGCTGGGCACTGTATCCATTGGGTCACTTGGCTTCCCCTAGAGCCAATGGGAAAATGTTATTACATTAGGGAGATTCAAGGTATTGTTCAGATATGTGAAATGTGCCACAGGCTCTTTCTTTTAAATATTCCTAACATTTTCCAGGGTCCCTCCTTAGAAGAATGATGAGATTTTAAGGGACAGGTTAGATCTGACTGCTTTTCTTGATGGTCATCATAACGCAGCTTAGACAGGACTGGGGTTAGTTGCTGACTTTGGAATCCAGAAGAAGACAGAAAAATTCCCTGTTTACTTTCTAACTCACTGTGTGATTCTGAATCCATGTCTTATGGAAAGAGCTCTCAACTTGGAATCAGAAGCCCTGTGATCAAATCTTGGTTCTCTACTAGTTACACAACGTGACTGTGAGCAAGTCACTTATCTTAACTTGTCTCAGCCTAGTTTTCCTCATCTGTAAAATAAGGATAAGACTTGCCCAACCTATCTGAAGGGGATGAAGTACTGAATGAGATAATGCCCATAAGAGTGTGATGTAATTATAAACCATTTTTATAAATCTGAACTAATATATGTGGGGACAGAAGAGAATTACAAGGTCCCCTGAAAAGGGGCATTGCCTCAGAGAATTGTCCAGGATTCCAGTTTTTCCAGGGTCTGGTACCTGGGCTACCCCTTTCTTACTCTATTACTTATTCAATATTCATTTGTCTAAGGACAAGATGCTAATATGGATTATTAAAATATCAATAGTTTATGAGTGAATTTTATATATGGCATACAGAATTTTTGCTTTATATGTGAAGAACAGCCAAGTGAATGTCTTTAGTTCCTAGCAAGATTATTTCTTTATTGGATGGGGGAAAGGGGTCAGACTTAGGCATAGAAACAGCCTCTGTGTTGTCTGCCTTCTAGCCCTATCACCAAATCGCCACCCCACCCTCATCCTTTAAGTACTTTCTGGCTGTGATTTTAAGGAAAACAAAAGAGAAATTGTGCCAAATTTCCATGCAGACTCTTGAAAAACTGTTGTTAGTCTCCCAGGAAATAAATCTGTCTCTTCAGATGCATCAAAATAAGTCACCATCTTCTTTCTATATCATTAGAACCACAGAATGTCAATGTTGGCAGAGACCTTAAAGAGCATCTAGTCCAACCTTCCCATTTTACAGATGAGCAAAACTCAGGCCCAGAAAAGGAAGTGATTTGCACAAACACATAGAATCACAGTTTCACAGATAGGAGGGGTCTCCAAAGACATCTATTCTGATCCAATCTATCCCAAATAAGAGTTCTCTTCAGCAAAAGATATCACAGCAAAGTTATCTCAGAGCTAGGACTAGACCCTATATTCCCCAATACTGCTTTTAGCCTCTTTGTCCACAATCTTTGGCTAAAACCTAAAATCTGGTTGCCACAGGGAGTAGTGATAGTTTGGGTAGGAATGGAGCTTTGGAGTTATGGGTTTTGTTCCTGGAGAACAAACATATTTTTGACACTACTTGTCTCCATGGAAGTAATAAGATTTCAGAAATCCATGCTCATTTACAATTTGGAATTTCAAGCTGTAGGTCACGGACCTACATATTTGCCCTCTAGGATGCTTACTCCCAATGCTAACAAGATAACTTGCATGAGAGAGGTTCAACACTAAATGCTAGTCCCCTCAGAGCCCAGTTATTTTAGGGATGCTAGATCAGAGAATCCTGCATCAGGTGTGAAGTTGGCCTAACATATCCTCTCAAAGGTCCTTTCCAACACAAAGATGCTATGGCCTTCTTCAGTCACAAGACTCTCTTAGCATACCTTCCAGGAGTTTCAGGACACTTTGATAATTTAGGCTCTGTCCCTTTAAATACTCCAAGATGTCCTCTACAACCTACCAATATATCTATAGCCACGTACCACTGTCCAATAAAGTTTTAGCTCATCCAAGGCCATGTCCCTATGCCCTACTCTAAGCCAGAGAAGATATGCAGAAACTAGGCTTGCTTTTCTGAATCCTGAGAACAATACCAAGGGCTTCTTCATTCTTTCTAGAGAAAATAACCCAAGTTTCACAGTACTCAGTACCTGGCAGAGTTCTGGATTTATAGTAAGCAATCAGCATGAATAGAATGGAATGAAATTGAATTCATAGATTCCCTCAAAAATTCCACCCCTACCTGGAACAGAATCTCATATTCACTTATTTTTCTAGCTTGAATTCCTTTTCTCTGCTACCTCTATATCCTCCTGTTCCTCTTCCTCCTCCTTCCACTGGCCAGGCAGCCAGTCAGTAATGCTAACGAACCAGGATGCAGAAGGGAACGAAGGTCTTTCTTTGCTGCCTTGCTCCAGCCAGCCCTCCGGATCTTGTATGCAAATCTTGACAACACTCCCTAAGGGGAAAAAAGCTTAAGCCATCTTGATTGAGATCAGAGAGACCACAAGAAAATAAACCAGTCCCACTTCCCAAGCACAAGCAAAAGGTTCTAACAGCCTTTTCCACCCCCCTCAAGGAGCTGTCCCCAAGAGTGGTCATCAGAAGTCTGGGGCTTCCCTGGAGTGGGACCCAGGGGGATGCCTGCAACTAGGTTATCAGCCCAGACAGAGAGGGACTTCTAATACTCCCTCTGCACTCTCCTTTCTTCTTAAGCATGCCCATTAAGGTTCACGCTCAGCTTGTTCCTCTCATACTTGACTTGACTTATGAGGTCCCTCTAACCTCCGGTGTGAGGAGACATCGATTCTTGCAAAGGTCATTTTCTTTCCGCCCCCACTCTCCCTTTCCATTCTTTGTCTCCTGGGCAGGCTTTCCTGGAACAGGACAGTGAAGGGGGGGAGGCGTGGTTACCTTCCTCTTCCCACCCCTAGTCTGCTGATCTGACCACTCCCCTAACAGTAGCTCAGTGGAGGTGTCTGAGCAGTAGAAATCCTTCAATAAGAGTTTGCAAATGCAGAAAACAGTAAGCCATTAGGTGGGGAGACCGGGCGCCCTGCTTGCTCACTGAGCAGTCATCTGCAGGATGTTAGAGAGATAGCAGGTCAGCCATTCTTATGATTTATTCAAATACTCATTACAGTCAATCTATTTTTACACAGAGGTGAAGATATGCGCTGATAACGGTTAATCATTTATAATTCCACGGACTGGTTGGAAGCCAATGTAAGCCAATGTACTATCAAAGCCAAGGAGCTCACATCAGCCATGCCACCAGTCCCCCCTGAACGTGGGCAGAGAAGGCGCCAAGTGAGGCCATTCATCCATTCATTCAACAAACATTTATTGAGCACTTGCTGTGTCCTAGGCATCCTAGGAAGACACAGAGATACCCTGCCCTCCAAAAGTTTATAATACAGTTGATGAGAACACGTACAAAAATAACCAAAACAGAAAATAATCTACAAGTACTGTATGAGTGTTATAGATAATAAATATTGAGTTCAGAAGAGGAAGAGATCACTTCTAGTCAGAGTAATTCAGGAAGGAGGTGGCATTTGAGCTGAGGCCAGAAGAATGGGTAGGATTTCGGTAAGCTGAAATCAAGCAAGGAGGGCATTCCAGGTTGGGGAATGGGGGTGGGGAGGGCCAAGCATGAGCAAAGTGCAGGTCCACAAAGGCTAGAGAGATGTGGCTCCCAGGCCCCCCACCCATCCCCTCAGAAACAAGAGGAGGATAGGAAACATCTACAAACTTCAGATTTGTAGCTCACATTGCTACTGCCTCCACTCAGTTCCATTCAAACTCATCCCACAGATCACAGCCACTGAGCCTCAGCTCCAGTCTTCAAACTCAAGGAGTTTCCCTTCTCCTGTACTCCTTACATGGGTAACCCATGAAGTCTACCTTAATGCACAATCAATAAAGCCTAATTAAATAGGATGTCATATTACAGGGCCCTTTTGTCACATTCAAACATAATCTAATTAGATTTCCACTGTCTTACATTCTGACCAGCTCGTTCTTGAATGTTTCTCTTTTACAATGCAGGACTCGTGCAAGAAGAACAGGTTCCTTAGCTGACCTTTAACCTGTAACCTCATTGAGACCGCATAGAAGATGCCAATCAAAGTTACTTACAGTTCAGGGCCTCTTTTCTGGCAAGCAACATAGAAGATAGACAGCCTCAGGACCCAGCCATACACACATCACCTGCCAAAAAAAGAGAATATCTTTATAGACTGTGTGTTATCATGCCAGGAACAAGAGTCAGAATGGGAACGGACCCAAGCAGATAGATATGGCATGGAAGGGAGCCGTAGACTGGTGGCTTAGATCACTCACAGTGCTAAGTGAGAGAAAAAAATGTTCTATTTATTGAGAAGCTGACATAGAATATTAGCTAATAATTAGGAACTGGGAATCAGAATTTCTATCAGACCCTCTTCAACTCTTGCCCTTTATCTATTTTATGCCTCAGTTTCCTCCTTTGAGTGCAAATTTTATCATCGTTCTCTACAAAGACCCTGGAAAGGAAAGACCTTGTTCCTATTCATCAGTATCATATGGTCAGAAGGCAGACAAGTTAATGGCATAATCCTTTCCTAGAATCAAATAGACAAAAGTAACAAGTATTTATTAAAACCTAGGCTGTGTTGAGCACTGAGGGAGATAAGATAAAAAGTCTAAAATGGTCGCTTTTAAAAGTGCTTACTACATGGGACTATATGAAGGCACAACAAATGACATATGGTAACATATAATTATTATAAATATTTATTTATTGAATATTATATATATGTGTGTATGTGTATATGTGTGTGTGTGTGTGTGTGTGTGTGTGTGTGTGTGTGTGTATAAAACTAAATTTTTTTGGTGTAGAATGCAAGTGCTGTGGGAATTCTGAGACAGGAAAGAAAGAAGAGTTGAACCAGTCAAGGCAGACTTCAAGAAAGTAAGACTTGAACCGGGCCTTGAAGGACAGGTAAAGGAAAGAAGAGGGCATTCCAAACAGAAAGCACAGCATAAGCAAAAGGCACAAAAGCATGGGGCAGTGAGGAGCTTAGAATAGAGTATATTTTAGGTCATAGCAGAAATTGACACTGCATGGACAGAGTGGGCAAGAATAGGGAGGGCCTGGAAATGGGAGCCATTGAAAGTTTTTCAGCAAGGAAGTGGCAAGATGAAAGATAACTGCCTTTATCACTATCAACCAGTCTCAGCCCTGCAAAGCTCCACTGATTAACCAGTATGGCTTCTGGGTAGAAGCAGATTTCAAGCAGCAATTCAATTCAACAATCATTTATTCAAAACCTAAACTATAGAAATCACAATGCTCGTTGCTAGGGGAGATAACCCTAAATGGTCTTTCCTCCTTGCCTCTAAGTAATTTATAATTTGAAGGGATGGGAATGACATATATGCCAATATATATAAATACAAAATAATACATAATAAAGACAAAAATAGTAACTCACATTTTTATAGGGCTTTGTAGCAAAGAACTTTTCTCACAACTCTGTGAGGTAGGTAATAGAGACAACATTAACCATATCTTACAGATGTAGAAATTAAAGCTCAGAGGCTCTGAGGTCACACACCTAGCAAACAGCAGACTTCGAATTTGAACCCAGAAGCATGAGACCAAATCCAGGAGGTCAGACACCACCTTACATTGCTTATATTTGCTTTCATATAAGTTAGGTGTGAGTAAAGTACAACTTTGGGCAAGGAAGAAGGTCATTACCACCTAGGAGAATCAGGGAAAGCATCCTGGAGGAGGTGGAATTTAAGGATGCAGAGTCATTCAACAAAGTAGGGAAGAAAAATGTAACTAGGCATAGATGTTCTAACAAGGCACAGCTAAGCAAACTGTCAGAATTTCAGAAAATTATGGCGCCATTGAGGATACAGCCAGGAATGTAGCTGAGAGAATACAGGGTAGTCAAAAAACTGGGTTCTAGTCCTGACTTGAGCCCTAACAAACTACCTGTTTGACCTGGGGCTCAGTTTTGCTACCAGTAAAATAAAGAAGATGGACTGGAGACTACATGTACAGTCCTTCTGAGAAAGCAAACCAACCACTAAGAAAGGCCCCAAGCCACTTAGGAAGGCAGTCTGAGATAGAGCCAGAAACCTAGTATTTACATCTTTGTCCCTCTTTACAACTGACCAGACTTCACTCACCTCATCCCCCAATCCCCATCAGATCTCAAACCAGGGCTTCTGAACACAGGGCACAAAAATATCCTCAGATAGAGCTGCTCACTGACTGCTGCCATTCCTGTAGCCTCAAGAGAGTACCTGGAATCAAACACTCCCCTTAAGGGCTTCACCAAAGCAGAGCTCCAAAAAGAGAAGAAAAACTGTCTGGAAAATCTGAGTAAGACAGACTGTCCAGGGAGGAAACACCTGACAGAACACCTACCCCTCCAAACACAGGTCTCTGTGTCTTTCCCTCTTGCTTCCCAGGGTTTTCTCCCCTTGCTGTCCTCCTCACAGCATCCCACTCCACCCCCTACCACAGATTCCTTCCCTCATTGCCTGAGAAAAGCTCCTGCCAAGGGATAGATAGCTTTTGTGTGTCCGGAACTGTAGTAGGGATCCAGCACTTCAGCCCCTGACTGCTGGGCTCTAAATTATACAATAACTGGGTAATTTAATAAAGATATAATTACCTGGCATCAGACACTTGGCTCCAAGTTATTTTCCCACCCAGTACCAAGTGTTACTGTAGTGTCTCACTCTCAGCTGGGCAAGCACCGGTGCTAATTGTAGGACTCAGGCAGCCACAGTGACCACTGTTGGCTGGGGATGGCACTTCTGCATTGCCGGACCCTCCCCAGCCCAAGCAAATTCTACATCTCTGTCCAGAGACAAGGCTCTGAGATGGGTTTCTGGGACGCCCCAATGATGTGGCTTTGAACAAGGGGGAAATGGTGGAACTGGGAAATAACCACTGATTGCTTCTACCCAGAGGCAAAGAGTTCTGCTTTCTCTTTACACTTAGACAAGGAACGCTATTTAGGAATTCATCTGGGTCCGCCATAAAACTGACTGGATTTGGAGTCTGAGGACCTTGGTTCATATATCAGCCCTATAACCTAGGATAAATCACTTAAGGGAAGGGAAGAAGAAAGAGGAAGGGAAAGAAATAAGCATTTATAGAGCACCTACTATGTACCAGGCGCTAAGTATTTTTTACAACTACTGTCTTATATAATCCTTAATTTTTCTGGGCCTTAATTTACTCACATGTAAAAAAAGGGTGTTGATCTACATGACCTCTAAGTCCCTTCCAGCTCTCTATATGATCTCATGACTACTAGAGGGTAGGAAGACTCAAAGAAGAAAAAAATCACGGAAAGTAAGTAGTCATGAAGTGTAATTCTGCCCACCTGGCCCATGTAGTCCCCATTACGTGGAGTGAGTTTTGAGTCATGTTTATAACTTCTTTGCTCATGCAGACTAAAGATCAGAGCAGTCAGTCCTTTGGAGGGAAGGGAAGCTGCCTCTGACTCCTCCAGAAGAGAATAAATGGATGTGTTGAGAACAATGAGCCCCAAGAATAGCCCAATTTCTGGGTGAAAAACCAAAAAGAAAAAATCATTTTAGCTTATATGAGGATTTGAACTTGGAAGAGAACAACATTTGCAGAAAACAAAAGGATTGAACTAAGTTTGGACCTGGAAACTAAGGGGAAATAGTGAAAAAAGCACTGGACTTGGAGTCACCAGAAACCTGGGTCCAAACCAAATCTTTTAATACTTAGTGGCTGCATAAATCTGGGCAAGTCATTTAAATTCTCCAACCTTCCATCTACTCATCTGCCAAATGGGCATAATAACAATTCTTGCACCCAGCTACCTCACAGGGTTGAGAAAAGTATGTTGTAAACCTTAATGTGATACATAAATATGAATCACTATTATTTTTGACTCCCAGAAAACCAAAATAAGTAGTCTTCTGGAACTCAGTGAACTGTACAGAGGTATCCAGAATGCGTGCAATGTGAAACATTTTCAATTCAAAGTTATATGCTGTATCTATGTATAGTAATTGTAATTGCTTCACTTGTAAATAGTTTGCTTTACAGCTTCTTTCTTGCCTATGAATGCAATAAGGCTAACTGGTAAGCCTGTGGCTATCATAGTGACTTGTCATCAGAAGGAGTAAAATGGGGGAGGGGAGAGAGACACAGGTAAAGGGTGATGCTTTTGAGGCTGTAGGCAGGCCTTGGGACACAGCGGCAAAAGCAGGCAGCAAATAACTAGCCAGCTATCAAGCAGCCACAAGTGATATCCCATTTGTAAGTGTCCCAGGATGGAATTACACACTCTTTTTTTTTTTTAATCAATGACAGGGTTTATACAAGAGAGAGAATGCTACATAAGACTGTGGAAAGGGAAGAGCCCTGCACTGAAGAGTCAGAAGGACTGGGTTCAGGCCTGGCTCTGTTACTTGCTATGGCCTTTGGCAAGTCATATATTTGATTTTAGCCTCAATTTTTATCTATAAAATGGGAATAATAATATTTGTACTACCTCCTTAGCAGGTTTGTTGTGAGAATCAAAAGGAAATAACATATGTGAAAGTGCTCTTTAAAATTATAAGGCATCAAGCAAAAGTACTATCATTATAAGTATCATTATTATAAGCTTGGTAGCATTAAGATTATAAGAATAAAATTAAAATGATCCTAATCCACTCCCAAAAATGAAGTTTTGAGATCATAATGAGGGTCCTAAATTGGACAGATAAGATGAATTATGAATTACACAGCTATAATTCCTCCAACGGTTAGCAGAATAAATGTGCCTCAGAAAGAGACCTGAAGGTCACAGTGGACCATAGTTTTAATATTAATCAATAATGCAGGGGTGTTCATTCATTTTTTCACTTTATAAGCATTTACTGAATACTTAATCATGTTCACAACACTGCACTAAGCACCATGAGGGCTACCAAGAATTATTACACGTGGATCTTGACCTCAAGGAGTTTAATTAGGAGAGACGTGAGACATGTACACATGAAAAGGTGATTAAAAATACCAAACAATAAAAGTGTTGTCTCAAGGTCATTTGTGTAAGAAGGGCCAGATGAAAGGTAGGAATAGTAAGTGCTCCGGGGTTAAGGGAGAAGGAGAGATTACTGTGGGCAAGAGGAGTCAGATAAGGCTTCATGAGGGACTTGGTACTTCCTGACAGCCT